TTTCACCAAATATATTATAACTTCCCAGGGAACTAGCTTTTTCTTTTAAATAATCTTTCTTTGTGGAAGCATCCCCTCCAAATAAAGTTTCATTCCAGGTACCTTTCCACTAGTAGTGAACTTTCACAAAAGCCAGAGAATAACAGTAATAAAATAGCCCCTGCTGTGTTGTTTCTTAACCACAACACCCACCAAGCAATGCAAGTAGGGCCAAATAGGGTTCTGCCCTTTATAACTAAGCAGCAGCACTTACCTTTTCTTGCATCCTAGGGGGAACCTCAGCCACAAGGGTATGCCTCTATAAACCCTCAGCTTTTTATACTATAAACCCTCAGCATTTATACTCCTCACAATCTCAAGTGTGTAAAACTCCACACCTGTGCTGCTGCAACCCTGCTGTCATAGACAAGTGACATTCCTATTCCACACATGCTGATGGTGTGAAAGACATAGCCTCTGTTTCTAAGGCTTGGTGTAGGATCCAGCTCTGGAGTAAGCAGACTGCTCTCCTGTGTGCTCAGTCTTTTTTTCCCCGCTCCATGCTGCCATGAGTCTGTAGCCAGCTCAGGAGAAACATAATCCAGTGTGTTCCAGCAGCCAGATCTCACAGACATGTTCCTGTTCCTTTGTTACCCCATGTCCTCACCTACATTTAGCTCATATATCTTCCCCCTTGGGCACTTTTAAACAAAAGTATCAGAGTAGCATCTTGATATTAGTGCAGCATCCTGCAATCAATTGACTGCTGGTCTCATTGCAAAGAGCAATATCCTTGCTAGAAAAGCCACTCCAGTCTGGGAAATGAAATGGCTGAAGAAACATGGGTGTTCATTCAACATGCAGCAGGCATGTGCCAAATCCACTCCCAAGCCATGCAAAGTGCTGATCAGTCCACAGCCCACTGGTGCAACATACTTATCTTTCTTATATATTGGAAATTTGCAACTCAGAAGCTCTTTTGCTTTAAATAAAGTAAAAAGACCAAGGCCCCCCTGAATAGAGTCAATACTCACAAACAGAAATATCCTTAACCTGACCTCCCTGATCCTTCCCTGTGCTACTGGGTGTAAATGCATTGAAATCAGCTCTTGTTTTTTATGTTCTAGGTTTCAAGCTCTCTGTAATAGCCACAATCCTCATTATGCAAATGTATTTTGCCTCTGTGCTTTCTGCACAAATTCTTTTGGTTCTGTTTTACTGGTTATGTGCAATTTCACACGTCCAGTGAAATTACAGCCTCTATAAAAAAATTGTCCAGTGTTTATGAAATCATTGCTTTCAGCACTCTGTCATCTAGAAGTTGCTGCTTTCTACCCAAGGCAGGCAGGAGGGCTGTTTTATGCCTACAGTCCTCCTATCAGTGACATTTCTAATGTTTTAGAAAAAGAAAATAAAACCTGACAAGTAAGATAGAAGGCTAAAGTTGATATTGCAGACAGGCTGGAAAGGGAGAAAGGAGTAGAATTAGAAACGTCTCTAAAACTCAAGACATTAACACATTATGTGATGTGTTTAGGATGCAGCAGCTACTGTGCCCCTAAGTTCTTGTGCACACACTTCCACCTACTCTCTTACTTCCTTATCTTGCTGAAAAGCCCAGCAAATTTGCTCACATTTGGATGCTGAGTGCTGTATGTCATGCTGTGGCTTTCTGTAACCAAACTCCCCAAGCACACATGCCCAGACTTGCGAGAAGGATGAGAAATACGAGTTGTGCAAAGAATTAGGTAAACCTGTGCCAGCCTTGCTAGAGGCACAAAGGCTTCACCATTTCATCTACATCCATAGGTTTCTCTTCCAAATTGGTTCCTACAGTCACTGACTCTACTTTTCCTAAGCCTTGCTTATTAATGAGGATTTCCAAATTTGCATTTCTTCAGCAGGCTAAGGACAGGGGACATAAGTTCTAGAGACACAAAGAGGTCATTCAGTTCTGGGCTGCTCCCTGGTTTTGCAAGAGCACAGACAAAAGTGTCAAGCAACAAAAGTGTAATATTAAAGTAGCAGAGAAATGAGGGGAAGGACAGTCTTATCTTTCTTTCTTGGAGAACCTCCCCAAAAGAGAAAAAGAAAAGGCAGAAAGTCATGGTGGTGCTACTGCTATAAAGAAAGAAGCTCAGGATCTGCAGAGCCCTGACATACCCTGTGAAACAAGCTTGGATTAGACAGACTCCTCTTAAACAGTACAAATGCAATTGCTACATGGATTTAAAACACTGAAAGATGAAGATTTTGTTTACTGCAAATACTTTTTAATGTACTCTAATGCCCAAAAGTAAAATAGAGGCTGGATTTATTCTGAAACATGGTCAGGAATTTTAAAATGGGCTTTTGTACACACAAACAAAGGGAGCATGGGAAACAAGAGCTTGCGAGTTACTTAAATGTCAAGGATTACATTGTACCAGGTAAAACTGAAATGTAGCACAGGAACTCAGTTTCATAAATTAAATGTCATTGCTGATGGGTACAAATTATATAAGAAAGATGGAAAGGAAAACCAAGGTGGTACTTTGTCAGATGCATTTATAGCTGCAGCAAGATACATTTCAGCTGCAAAGTAATTTAAAAAACAAAACAAAATACAAACAACAACAACAACAAAAACCCCAAACAACTAAAGTGGACATCTGCTGCAGCCTACTCCAGCAGCAAGAAAGCAAGAATGAATTAGTCTCTCTTAAGGTACTCAAGGCCATGAAACACTGAACTTGTGGAGAATTTAACTGCCTGCATTTCTTTTAATAAATACCACCAAACATGGATCAAAGAAGTTCACCACTTACACAGAAACCTGCTTTAATCCAGACGGTACAGGTTCTTGACAAATAAATGAGAAAAATGCCCCCAATCCAGGAACTGTAGCAGAGAAATTACAAGTGACACCATGAACACAGTATCTAAATGTAACACAGTATAGAGTTTATTTGTTTGACTTAGAAAAGGTCTCCCACATAATTAACTGGACACATATACATTAAATATACAAATGCATACCAAAAGAAACACAGAAGGCACACATTCAGCCAAGTGGCTCTTTCTGAACCACTCACCACTGCAGGCCAGAACGAGAGAGCCACGAGCCCCAGCTTCATTACTTTCTGTCCAAAACCAGGACCACAGCTGTAGGCCCATGGTGCTCCACACAGACCAGCTAAAGAGGGAATGAGATTCAGAGGACAGGCGTCCTCTTGGGATTGTACAGGGTCAGGATACAGATGCCAAAGAGAGCTAATCTGGCTCTTTTGAGTAGCAACAGAACAACAACTCCCATCTTTCTCACCCCCTCAGGAGGTTGGTGACTTGATTACAAGAGGGGACATCTTGGGCAAGCACCAAATGACAGCTTATTTGAAGACTGCTCTACCTTCAACCTCTGCTGGCAGACTTCCAACACAATTCCTAAGCACTGCTCTTTGCCCCTGTGACCCCCAGTACCATCAACCACATTTTATCTGGAGAGCAAGAGAGGTTCATTTTACAGGTCACAGCCCCAGGTTTATAGCACTCATCAAGAACAACAATTAGCAAAAACTAGTCAAAATAAATGTGTTCACCTCATAGAGACTCTCTTCTGTTGCCATAGGAGCAGGTAAATAGCCCAAGTTCAGCAGATTTTATCTTCAGGAAAGAACTAGTTCCACCAGAGCATGAAACCTCCACTCTGGATCAACAAGGCTGTGTGCATCCTCAGAGTCATGCTGAGTTTAAGGAGCAGATTTATATCATGCAAAAAGCAAGTTTGTTCTTTCAAATTAAGTAATTAAACAGCACGTGATAAGCCTAAGGAATTCTACTAGCCCCTGGAGTCAAGGCATGAGACTGACTTCCATGGAAAGAATTTGAAAACAAGTGAACATTACCTTTCAGGAACTGGTGTGGCAACAAAGAAGACAAGCAGATGAGAGACTTTCTCTGGAAAGGATATCCTGTTAGTTGACAGGTTAAAGAAAAGAGCTCTGACATCCACCATAGGGAAGAGAAAGTAAAGCACACTAATGCGTAAGTGCAGAAGGAAAAGAAGGACAAGTGAAATCAGCCTCCTGGACTATTTGTGAAGTCACCCAAGATGAAGCAACAAGGAGATAAAGGACTTCCTGGAAAACCTGACCATATATATCAACATGGTGCTAATTAGTTAATTAACCTATTGCACAATTTAAAAAATAAATATTTTAAAAGCCTGGGAGGAAAATGAAGCACCAGATGACACTGTTCTTTTCAGAACAAAAAGTGGAACAACATCAGCCTAATAAATTTATATCTGATCTTTGCTAACAAAGTGAAATAAACACAAAGAGAGAAAAAAAAGTCTCCCAAATGTCTGCAGAGTGGTAATCAAAGTATGGCAAAATCAAACCACTTTCAGGAATCCTGCAAACACAGTGAGTAGCTTTAGGCACATGAGCTACACACATGAAGCCAACACGATAACTCAGCTATCAGGTCACTTCTACATCCAAGTGGTGGTGTCATTTCCAACACCTCTTTTTTTCCCCATTACCAGGAACAATTTTATGAAACACTGCTCATGATATGAGCTGACAGACCCAGCTGTAAAACTACAGCTCATTCCCATGAGGCTATATAGAATGTATTATATAGACTAGCAAGCATTTAACCCATGGAATGAGGATGAGTATGTTTAACAGAGGGCACAATACCTTTGGTATTTTAACATCTCAAGACATTCTGCAGAGTAAATAGAGTAAAAGAGACCTGCTTGCCATTCAAATTAAATATACTTCAAGGAAAGGCAATTAATCAATCAGTGAATCAATCAACTGCATTTTATCATCAACTACAGACAGCTGTTTGAGTGTAACAACCTCTACTGCAACCCAGCACCTGAGCCTTTCGATCAGCTGCTTCTGTGTTGGGAGTGCATCAATTGCCTTTGCTGTGAATTTGTTGTGCAGCTAAAAACCCTGATGGTTTCTCTAAACAAAAAAAAACACCCTAAACCTGTGGTTTTCTAATGTTTAAATTTTTTTTTTTTTTTTTTTTGCAAGTAGGCATGTTAGTTTTCAGGTCTCTTCTAATAACTAGGATCTAATTTTTTTAGGTTTCACAAGAGGATTTACTTATGACAGCAGGATATGTAATTTAAATGGCAAGAAAGCAGAGTGAAATGTCAATCTGCCCACTGTAGAGACAAAAACAATCTGTTTATCCACTCTGTTAGTGAGCAGAACTGGAAAAAGGATAGTGAACAAGAGGACAGAAATGCCAGTCAGATCCCACAGTAGCTAGGAGGTAATCATCAAGGAAACCATTAAAACATCCTGACAACAGTTCTTTTTTGTACCATCATTGAATTTAGGGTTTGTTGCCACAGAACACTTGGGAGGCCAAAAGTAAAAAAGGATTTTTAGAAAGGGACTAAGTGCATTCACTAAGACCAGGTCCAGAAGGAACTGCCAGAAAGCTGAGAAAGTCCATAGACTGCTGGAATGGTGTCAGAGAAAGACCTCTGTATATACAAGCCTTGTATTTTATGCTTCTGTGATCACCTGTTACAGACTATTCTCAGAGGCAGAACAGCAGATCAGATGGCCTTTGGTCTGATTGCACACAATGCTTCTTATGGATCAAAGCTCTCAATTTTAGCATGATTTAGATTCTAGAAAGGTTAACTTTAAAAAAAGAAAAAAGGACATTTGAAAAGCTTGCATGCCTCCACTGCTTTCTCTTTCAACCCACAAAGTTTGGCTCCTTAATCATTCAGTTTCCAGGAATGGTAAAAATATTGCTGAATTGGCAACAATGGGGATTTCATCACAGCCACTGAAGTCTGTGTTATTGCTCCCAGATCCTGCCCAGGCCCCTTATCAGGCATTTCTCCTGACCCAGTCTCAAGTGTATGTTAAACATTACCCTATATTCCATTTTTCCTCTTTGCCACATTCTTGCTAAATCACTTTGTTCGACTGCTACATTTATGAGGTGAAACAGTTCTGATACTGCTCTGTAGGCGACTGTTATCTAAACCCTTCTCCCAGACTGCTCATTTCTGCCTGGGCAAGTGACAACAGGAATCTACAGGAAGACTCCTTATGGACAAAGGATTGCTCCACTGTCTGTAAACATCCCTAAAACATCACCCAGAATTTGCCACTTCAATTGGATTCAGCCTTACAGCCAGTCAGATCAATACATTTTTGCAGTGCAGTAGAGTAAACAATGCAACACAGTGATTCCAAGTCTGCAGCTAGACAGACCAAAGTAGCAGCACAAGTAAGTCAGATAATCTCCTGCATTTCTCTGGGCACAGAGTGAGCTCTGAGACCAGTCATCACAGTTGTTTTTATATACAAAATATGTGTGCACATAGACATATGGACTAATACATTCATCACTAACCCTCATTTAAGGGACCAACTATCCAAAGTCTGCTCATCACCCAGTAAATGTGCTTTAGCCAGGGGTGCCAGATGCATCCAGGACCCACAGTGCCTTTACAGGTCACTGCATGAGGATATGGCTGTAGGTTCAACATCAATCAAGAAGTTACTGTTCCAGCTTGAGATTCAGTCTTTAGTTCTCCGGACAATCCTTCCCAATCAAGATAACACACAGGTAGATTGTTTGTTTTTATCGCTCATAGTGGAGTTTGGATTCAGGTTACCTGGAAGGAAAAGGAGTTAAAGTAGTGTTAATGTTAAGTAAATAAGCCCTGGATGAAGTTCAGACTCATGATTCACTCTCATTTTTTACTGTACACCTTGTGTTAGACCTACATTATTCTGCACTCTCTCACGGCTTTTTTTCTGCTGCAGTGAAATGAAGAAACATTAAAATAAGAGCAAATGCAGAGTATATTGTAGAGAAAACCACTGCAGAAGTGTTTCTAGGCTTTGGCTTGTACCCAGTCCAGCTTCATTAGGTCCCAGCTGGCACTGATAAATAGTCTGGTCATGTCTTGGGTGGGAAATTTTCCAAAGAGTGAGGTATGGGAAAAAAAACTCGAAAACCCAAGGTCATCTCATTCATTTGATACCCACACACATTCTCAGTAGAGTTTTTTTTCATGTTTTTTTCAAACATTTCTAGTGCCAGTGTTTCCACCACTGCCTTTGCAAGACAAATCCCAAGGCCTCAAGGTCTCTCACTAAAGTGGCAGAGTATGCTGCCTCCAGTTTTTTACAATCCTAGTTTTTTTCACTGCTTACTCTATGAATTTCTTCTTCTCCCAGTATCTGTACCTTTCAATGCTTACACTTCTGTTTGGTGTCCATCATTACAGCCAGATGTTGATCTGGATGCCACAGCATATCCGTTTCAAGCACTGTACAAAAGCATGTTCAAAGACTTTTGCAAGTAAGGGAGCTCATCTGAGCTCAGTAAAGCCTGTGTGACTCTGGCCCAGGGTAGCAGGGACTGAGAGGGGCTGCCCCATGGCTTGGAATCGCTCTGAACACAGGCAGGCCCTGCTCATGTATTTGTACAGAAGGAAGGTACATGTGCATCTCCCAAGCACTTGGAGCCAGATACCAGTTAAGAGTGAAAACAGAGAGTGAAAACTGCCACAGGTCATGGTGACATGCTACTGAGAAGTCTTAGCCTTGCTAAGTTTAAGCACTGCCTCTGAATTGGGCTTCAAGTGAGTAACTTTTGATGTCACACTCTTGCTTGTGGGGATTTGATCAATACTGCCCTTACCTGTAGGTGATGGGGAAGAAAAGAGCTCTCTTTTCTCCCCCTCCTTCTCTCCACTTTCTTCCACACTGCATCTTCTTGATGTTCACCTGGGAGTTTGCACTGCACCGTGCCCTCACTTCAGTGGCTGCTCTGTGTGCTACTGCCTCCTCCTCACATCTCCCTGTGGCATTGCATTCTACCTGTCCTCCTCTGACACATCCTGGATGTTAGTATTATATCTATAATATAATAATAATATATAGATATATATTACTCCTATCTCCTCCCCACCCCTCTTTCCTTCTCTGTCTGTATCATATTCAAGACTCTCATGCTTTTTTTGAAAGATGTCTGTGCTTCTCTGCTTAATTTCAACTCCCAGCCCTTTTATTCTTGTCACTTTCTACTCCTGTCTTCTGACCTTTTTCTACATATCCCACTACAGTTAGAGCAAACATCCTCCTTGTATGTACTCAACAATGTTTCCCTCTTTCTCTTTAGAAAAGAGGCTGAAAATTCTAGTTACCACCCTTCCATGATCTCACTTTGGCTGAGAAATGCTGGTGATAACTAACCAGCTATTTCAATGCTATTGCAGTGCCCAGCATAAATCCCATTTTTGTTGCAAGAAGCACACAAAACTGAAACACAAAATCCTTCTACTAAGTGTATGTGTTTATGTATCTTGCAACCAGCGCTCATGAGGAATGAAGTCGATGCATGGAGCACCTCAGGTCAGCAGACCCTTCTAACAAGCCCACTTTGCTTCTTCCAAAGGAGAATACTAACCAAAAAGTCTGTGCCTTTTGAAGGCACACAGCTTTCAGACTTTTGCAGTGTTTCCCAGAAACTGCACACAGAAGTCACTGTTTTTGCTGACCACAGTCTGCCCAGCACCAGCTTAAAATTAACAAGATTGTGGTCAGGTTCAGAGCTGCTCTTGTGTCCCTCAGCGGGCAACAGTGAAATCCAAGGGTTCTCTTAATTTCATAATGTGGTTTGAGAAAACCTTGTAAGACAATGTAAAACAACTTGCCATGTGCTAGGACACCTCAGGGTGTTAATTCAGATACTTAGTTTGGGACATTACTTTCTATCTGTAGCCCTTGTATTGTGCAGACTCCCAATTCAGATTTGTAGGAATCCTTTTCTAGCCTGTAAAAACTGCATCAGATTTTCAGACTCCATCACAGCACACACTTCCATCATTTCCCTTCCCAGTTCCAATTCTCTTCATCACCATTTGCTCCTACAAGACTGAATCTGACTTTTAGCCTGCTTGAATAATGTCTTTCAACTACTCCATGAGCTAGTTGGGTGTGGATCTGGTCTCTCCATGCATTTGCAAGGTGGGATGTGTCTCTGTGGTGCTAGAGAATTAATAGTGACTTTGGAGGATGTGTGCACAGGCAGGCCCATGGGGCTTAAGTGTGCCGTTTAATCTTTACAAAAGCTAAGGGCAGCTATTTCAAACCGTGAAGCTCTGAATAATTGCATCCTAACCTGCCTGCATACCAAGTACCCTCTCTTTCATTTCCACTTCTTACCTCCCTTCTGTCACATAGAGTATCAGTTTTTACTAGCTTTGCTCAAAGACAACTTAAAACTTTTCAAGCTAAGTCAGCCCTAAAGTTACCCAAGAACAAAGTGCCTCCTATCTTTATACTGAGACTGGAACTCTATTCCATGGCTGTGTTTAAGAATTTTTTATTAAATCCTTTTCTGTTCCTCATGAGTCTCCATCTATCTAATGTGCCCTCTACCATCTCTGTTCACATGCCACTTTGGGACTATTAGACTAGAGAAGTTTTCTCTCACAAGAAAGTGATTTAATTCAAAAGTAACACACAATCCATGATCTTCCTTCAGCCTTTGATGACACCATATGGACAAAGTCTACTTACACCATACTTCAAAAGCTATGGAGTCTCCCACTGGCACCATGAACAGGCATTCTCAATTTCCATAAACCAAAAATATTAGCAAGGACTCACTGGAAAGATTTGTCAGGTCAGAAAAAGCACAGGGGGAAGACTGGTGTGCTGGACCTCAGCACCTTCCCTGGCCCTGTTCTCAATTCTTCCTTCCCCCTTATTGAAAGAGTTGGCAGTCTGCAGGAAGTAACAGTGGCAATAAATAAAACCTGAACATAATAGCACGGTAATGTATTTGTGGAAATGGTCTAGACCAAGCATCAGACTGTCTGGCACAGATCCACTGTGTTAGGAGGAACAGGGACATCCCTGCTGCCAGGATGGTGCAATGCCCCAGCAGGGTGCAGTGCCCCCTGTCCAGCCAAAGACATCAACCTCTTGTGCATTAAGCTGGGCCTGGTTTCATCAGGACGTTGTGGGAAGGCCAGGCTGGCTGCTTTGAAACAGGTGACAGTGAGAATGTCTGATACTGCAAAGTGCTGATGAATCAGAGATGACTCAATTCTCTCCTTCTGTCACTAGAGGGTGGTGCAAGCACTCAGGTCCATTCCTGCGAGTGGAAATGCCCATACATCTCCCCACAGGTCCTCACTGATTTTGCTTCTCCTGGCTTTGAGGAATGGGGCCCACCAGAACATAATGTCTGTGCTCAAGACTTACTTGGAGAGAGGTCCTCTTCAGACCAGGGTTTACTTCTGCCTCCCCAAATGCCAAATGCAGAATCTAAACTGGATCTACTACAGTCTCAAATAAATTAGCCATTCCTTCTTACACTTCCTCTTTCTTGTGTTCATTTGGCATTTTTGAGTCTGTCCTTCATTTAGCCAGAAATATTTCCAGGAACCTAATTAATCATTGTTGTTGACTGTCCCAATACCTTGCTTTTCTTCTTGGTCCCAAGGGAACATCTTTCCATTTCACATCATAGTAACTGCAAAGGAATTAATTCTCTCTACATCTGCATTTTGCATTCATCAGAGCACAGAATGGTCTCTGGCCAGACAAGTGGAGAAGAAATTTTCTCCTTGCAATTAGTTTATTTTCCTGACGGTGCAGGATGTATTGACACCCAACACAGCTCACTGAGAGGAAGAGAACCAGGATGAATAGTCCAAAGATTTACTTCAATCTCACAAAACATGTAAAATGTTGGGGAGTTAGCTATGAACCCATAAGCCATTAGAGATCTTTATAATTTGTATCTTCAATTGACTGAAGCCTTCAAAGGACTTAATGAAAATATCAATCATGCATTAGCAAAGAAAGAAAAGTTGAGATCCAGTGATCTACTTCTTTGTAGCTTCTATTTTCATGAAATTCTCCCCCATTTCAGAAGGAGGTAAAGGAACAAATTAAAAAGACTTGCACCCTTTCCTCCACTCCTTGTCTCCTCACCTCAACATAAACATGTTTTCCTCTCTTCTCTACCAGGAATTTGTCACTGGAAATACACCTGCCTAATCTCTAATGAGGAAAGGAGGGATTACACTGAAAATCTGTCTGTGGCCTGCTAGCCACTACAATAGAGAACACAGTGCTGCTGTTTATTAGGCAAATGCACTTAATGGACTGAGCACTGTTTTACACAAGGCAACGTTCATCTTTCTCTTCCTTTGCTGCTCAAAAGTACGAGAAACATTCACATGAGAAGTCTTACAGTCAGACTGCCATTAAATTGCTTTCAACTAACATTGCCTGTATCTTTTGATATGACTTCTACCCTTTGTTCTGGCTCATTTTGGTTCAGAGGAAATGAGAGGATCTACCCACAAGTGCCTATAGTGGATATGCTTGCATCAATCAGCCAAGCTCAGAACAAGGGACACAGAAAGCAGAGTATGCTGGTAAAAGGTTTTACCTGAGTTGCCTCCAGCACTCCGAACACTAGCATGGCCAATGCTGAGCCTCTCATACTCCAGTTTCATGTTGCCAAGGTCTTCTCCTGAATGTCCTTCACTCGCAAAAGAATTGGCCTCAATGCTTGAGCCTGGAGACCGCTTGGCCTTGCGACTGAAAAGCCCACTGGCAAACCGTTTCCCTTGCTTTGCATTGTTCTGTGCATCTTCTTTCTTTATGTCACGAATAGACTCTCTGGATTTGGATTTGTTTTTCAGGTCCATGTGGAGCCGGGACAACAGTTTCTGGGGGCTCCGATTCAGCTTGTTCAAGTTCTCCAGAGGTGGATCTATTTCTGGGAACACTTGCTCCAATGTGACTAAGTCATTCAGGAACTGATTTAACCGTTTCTTTGACTCACTTGTTTCCTCCTTTTCCATGTTTCCCTGATTGTCTTGCCTGTGCCGTGAAGCCCAGAGCATCATATCACCACGGGTTGCCCCTGCTACTAGACCATACTTTGGGTTAATGAACTTCCGAGCCACGGTGGAGGAATGAAAGCCTGGCTTTCCAATTCCATGGAGGAATGGGTTAGCAATACCCAGTTCCTTGTATAAATTAACTTCCTCTGAGATGGCGTAGAGCTCACGAAACTCAATGTCAAACATCTCCACGTGCTGTCCCGTCAAGACTAGCAGGATGTTTCTGTCAATGTGAGATGAAGTCCATGTAAAGCTAAGAGGAGGAAACAGAACCGACATTAGATTTTGGGGTGCATACTTCACCCAGCCCACCTAACAAAACTTAAGACACTACAGGGGAATATGTAGCATTATGCCATTTGCCCTTATATCCTTGGCCAGATGGGCCCCAATAGATACATGACACAACATTATCATTCTTCTTTAGACATGTAGATCAGATCTGGGAGAAAAGGCCCTGAAACTGTGAAGGACACTTTATCCTTTTTTAAATCAACAGGAAGAGTCTCTGGACTGAAAATCGCACTGAAGAGAACTGAGTACAGGGACTGGTGGGCAGTCGTTGTAGACCCCTTCCTGGTGCAGTGTGGAACTGTCTCTAGCCCTCTGAAAAGGTCTGCCAGCATGGGTATGTTCCGTTCTCTGAAGAAGGGCTCTATGCCACCTTCTCTGTTGTCCCACTCCAGTTTCTACAGATGCCACACAGATTACAGAAGCTGGGATAGAAGTGGGGGTGACATGTGAAGAAGACTCTCAAGCAAATCATGACCATTCTTTAAATAAATGCCTTAATGCCTTAAACAAGAGTAACCCACCTGTATGATCCAGTGGCCACCTTTTCACCATCCACCATCAGGAATCGGGATGCCAGCGTGCCTCTGATCTTCCCTGATGGCATGTAGAACCCAACTCCTGTCACAGAGCGTATGCGGACATTCTAACAGGGAGGTGAAAAGACAAAATGTCACAATAAATAGGGCAGAAAATTAGATAATTGCCAGCTCCAAGTCTTAAGATGTCTCTCACATTGTCTCACTACTTCTGGGACTAAAGCTCATTTTGTATCAGCCACCAGAAGGGCTGCAAAAGGAAAGCATAGTCTACACAGGTCACTCCTCTCCATTTTGGACAGTTTATAGCTGTCCAAGGGGTCAACATCATCAAAACTCTGCCTGCTGTCTTCAGCTATTCACTTGAGCCACTGGCAAGACAATGCTTTCAGATAAGTGTCTCTACAAATGTCCTGAAATAGATCAGCGAAGAAGAATTCCTGAAGACGAGGAAGGAGAATCTTTTCATAAAATGAATGGAAGTAGTTAGAAAAGAATACTTCTCCCCAAACCTCACATCTCACACCCTTTTGTCAGCAAACCTACAAGTAATGAAACAAAGCACTAGCAGACACAGAGAAACCACAAAGCTAGGGTTACATGACTTTCAACAATAGATATGTGCCTATGCATATTGTAAGGATATATTTGCACATTGGACTGAGTGTTACTCTGCTCATGAGTCCTGGCAGCACAAGGCTGAACTGCCAATGTGTCTAACATGAAACACTCTCCCTGCCCTCCCCCCAACCCAAAAACATTGAACGTCAGTATAAGTTTGGAGCAAATTATCTTGTCACTCTGCCACACAAATCTAGACAATTTTCTTCATTTCACCATATTTTTATGTAAGGATTCCTTAAGAATGAAAAGCTAAAAGGCACTGTGAACTGGAGTCAAAAACGGGAGTCAGATAGTCCCAGGCATAATTGCAGTTCTGATACTGTTACCTGTGGTGTTCTGGGAAAGTCAATTTGCCTTTGTTTCATTCTTCTCCCCATCTCCAGAGCAGAAGAATCAGGAGGATTTGGCTAATGCTAGCACAGATTCAGATGCCACAAAGAGCTAAGTCCTATTGCTGTAAACCTCACCGACAGCTTAAATATTGATAGGCTATAGAAATCAGCATGCAGGAATGAGTGATTATAAGAATGCAGATTTCTTTCAAAAGCTGTTTTTCTGAATAAAACTCCTGCCTTTTGAATCCGCTGCTATTTTCCCCACTAGAATACAGCAGTGGAAATACAAATTCTGACTAACAGTAACTGATGATAGCACTGTTTTGCATTCAGCTGTTGCTTGATCTGTCTGGAGTCTTGTGTGGGCATTAGCTAATTAATGCTCCCAACACTGCTGAAAGTATTATTACCCCGTTTTAAAGATGAGGAGCCTAAGACAGAAAAAGATGAAGTGGCTTGCCCAAGGCCTAGCAATGAGTCATATGTATGGGATGCTGAAGACAGGTTGGGTAGAGCACAGAAGAAATGGTGCCCTTTCCAGTAATTAAAATAACATTTGAATTTGGCTGGCTGATCACCTGAAATATTTTTTTCCTTGCTGATTAGTGTTGGATGTGGGATTTGCCAAATCATGCTATTCTGACTGCACAAGACAAGAAGTCAGTCAACAGCTCTGATGTGATATGTACTCCTGTGAATCAAGAAGTATCAGCCTGTGTGAGCAGAAGGTTTCCCAGCACATAACAAGTGTGAATCTTATTGTGTTTGTATATTCTATCACCTTTTTTGGGGGGAAAGAAGGCACACTTGAATTTCTGAGCTGTATATAACACTTAGAATGGTGGAGAGGGGATAGAACTGAACAGCTGAGTACATAAAACTCCTTGAATAAAATAGGTACAGGAGTGCATTAATACATCTTGAACTGCAGAAAACAAGCACAAAGTCATATAAACATCAAATCACTTAACAGGTTATTTGTATACAATTTTCTGCCTTGAAGGATCTTGGAACATTTGTAGACTGCTAAGTCAAGCTACAGAGGAAAAACAAGCCTGGGTTCATGTACGAAAACTGCACAATAACAAAAGAGGAGAGACAAGTATAAATTAAATGAGATTGCAGGCATTTTCAGAGGGTACTAGAGTTACAGTAGTAACAAATATTTTGAGTAGAGGACCAGTTAGCTCACCACACAGAAGTGACACCTCCAGATCTGTATTGTTGCAGAAGCCTGCTTAAGGTTTGTTCTGTAATATCCTGGCTTATGGGAGATGCAGTCTGCCTTAAATTTCCATATTGCCTTTCCACAGACTTGCACCACTCCTTATCACAAGCAGTGACTAACATCTCCCTGGCTAACACTCAATATGACTGGTAACAGTCAAGTCTGACAGAGCATCCTAATACAAATAGTAAGGAATTGGTCTTCCTTGCTCTATTGTGACACTTTTAAACCTTACTCTGAATCCACAGAAAGCTAAATCAGACCCAATTTAGAAAGTCAGTGATGCTGTGACTGACTTGACAGACCTAGGCTGTAGTGCTTAGAAACTGGGGCTGAGTAGGGGGAATACACAAGACAGACCCTAAAGGGAGGTGTTGTAACTGCTTCCACCACAGAATCCTATGTGTACCTTCCCTCTTAGAAGTGGGAAATCTTCTGTTTGCCCTGGACAGTTTTGGAAAAGGCACAGTTATTAACAAAATAGTGTAACTTGCAAGTATTCAGGTAGAACAGGATGGAATGCAGCTAGCTGGGACATGGCCTGCCAAGACCATTACTGAGTATTATCTGTCTTTACAGAAAGAGAGCCTTGCAAGCTCCCATTCTCAGGTCACAAGTAGTCTAGAAGAATATTCAAGCAGACCATTAAAAAACCAACAGCACTGCTTTACATCACATTCTGCCCCTCCCTCATCTCAGGTAGGAGTCAATGGCGAAAACCACAAAATACTGAAATGAAATTCCAAAAGTTCTTAGGCAGAAGCTTTTTAAACTTTTTGAAGTGAAAGGAGAAACTTCTTACATGTTAGGAAAATTAGTGTAAAAATTAATGTGAAGGTGAACTTCCTGCAGACAAGTAATTCCCTGGGCTTGCTTGGAACTCTAGGTGAATTCTCTCTCTATCTTTGGGCAGGAGTGTCTGTTACTGTGGTCAGGGTTTACAGAAACGTGAGGACAAAAAACTTATCTAAAATCTGGTGAGAACATTCACCCTCAGGTCCTGAAAAAAGAGGAATTTCTGAGGGGCTATGAATTTAGTGTCTATGAGAATTCTGATTCACTGGGATCTCTGCAGAACACTCTTGTGTCAAACACAACAGAAGTCTGACAAACCATGTCCTGTAGGCTCAGGAAGCCATATGACTCACACACACAAGACATGCTCTTATGAACCCATGAATGTCCTGATGATTGAATTTAAATACATTTCTGGTGAGCTCTGGCCTTCAGACAAAAATTGAGGTTTTCTCATTTCATGCTTGGAGTTGGTTAAGAACTTTTACTTTTCCTACAGCAGTTTCCCTCCCATGAGACTGTCAGCAGATCATACCTTGCCACCTCTACAAAAATAATTCAATAGCCAGGAATTTTGTGAAAATGTCCATCACTGTACACAGACAAAGGGAAAAACCCAGTGCTAACAATAAACCTCCCTCTCAGGACTGTTGAAGTATTCACTTTGCATTGGATGAACAGGGCAATGGGACCAAAAGGGCAGAAATCACAGAACAAAATGAGTATCTGGTGATGACAGAAGACAGAATAAACACTGTGACCCTGCAGTTCTTGGTAGTGCATCATCTCCCTCCCCCTGGGATCAGAATTTGTTTCCAAACCTTACAGTTATCTTTTACGTGGCTGCAACTTCCTGAGGAAAAAAGCCATCCTCTGTACCTTGCACAAGCATTCCAAAGGAAAGATGGGCAGAAGGGCAGGAAAGAAGATTATGCAATTCCTTTGCTGGCAAACTATGGCTGGTGAAAACTGGTAAAAATCTTCTAGAATAAAGCAAAGTGGTAATTCAAAAAGGAGATAACATTTTCGCTGTTGCTGAAAATCTGTAGAAGAAACTCAGACATCAAAGCAGATGTCAGGAGAAAGATGGTAGATAAGAAATGGGTGAATGATAGAGTTTCCTCAGCAATTTCAGTATCTTCTGTGATCAAACAATGCGGGACAAAATGATTCTGCCTGAACAAGACCGGAGGCCTAGCTTGCTTTTTTGTTTTAGATCTGGATCTTCAACCCTTGGCACATTACATCAAAGAGGAAGGGCTGGGGGGAGTCCTTAGGGGGAAACCTTAATCTTGCTGGAGCCTCCTTGAATATCCAAAGCCTGCTGCCAGAGAAATCCCTACGTGAATGTGATGTGTAGCAGTTGGTCTGCTACACTGACCCAAGCAGCAGCATAGGCACATCCAAGGCAGCTCTGGGTGAGATACTAAGACAACATCTTTCTTGAGAGGCAAATTACTTGTTTCCCCATTCCATGAAGAATCTCCCTGGTCACTTCATAGAACCATGTACAGGAATTAACTGCATTGACCTTAGCAAGACTAAAAAAATACCTAAGCCATACTGGAAAAAAAAACTGCAAGGGAATTTAAGATCCAGTATGAGATATCTGGCAAAAGAGGGGGAAAATTTGAAAGGACAACAATCTGTGGGCTGAAGCTTTGCAGGATAGTGAACAACTAGGTCAAAAGATGTTAAAAATTTCTTCTCAGTGGACTTGCTTCAAGTCAGCTTGTGCTATTTTTAGCTGAAGATGTCTAAAGCAAAACACAGCATGGGAGAAGAAGGGGACTGCTTTAGAGACAGAAAAGACAGACTGAAAGGAACTCACCTCTCCAGTAGCAACACAACTCTTTCTAAAATGTCAGGACATCTTTTCACTCACTCTGTCCAGGAGTTAAAATATTGTAGTACTGAAGACATCATTGCTGTACATGATGACACAGCAAGAAAAGTACTGGGAAAATGGTATCAGAGCAGATGGAACTACTGCTGTGATTTCACAGTTATGTACCAAAGAGACACAAGCCTAGAACACACAATAGCACTGGCACTTGAAACACGTCTGTTATAATGAGGTCTGTGTCTTGCTTTCAAAGACACCAGAGGGAAAGAACTTCCACCACTGTTTTGGAGAAAAACGAGAAAACTTCTCAGCTGGATATCTTTTTTGATGAAACTCAGAGCAGAGTGGTAGCTCACAGGAGAACTCTTCACATATATGCAGGTAATTTTCATCCAGATTCAAGATGGTTCTCCTAAAATTATTAATATGAGACTCAGTAATCTTCAGAGCTTTTTGAGTTTTGGTAGTGTTTTGGGTTTTTTTTAACTACTAATTGAGTGTTTAAGGAAAATCCACCCCTCCTCCAGGCAAAAAGCACTTTTTCCACCGCTGCTGCATAGAACAAATGGATCACAAACAGGGCTGAGTCTGGCATCCCATAGGTTGTTTCCAACGTAGCAACTTTTTTCAGGATTTATATCAAGTCTGTAGTAGCAACAGTGACTAAAAAGATGAGGGGAAAAGGAAGGAATACAATACTGACAAGAAATACACAAAGGATTTCAGTCTGTTTGCAATGGAGTGAGATCCCTCTGAGGCTGCTCTGCCAACCAAGCTGGACTGACTACTCTGCTGTGCTGCATGCACTGTATGAAGGCACGCTCTGGCATGGGACTGGGCAGCAGCTGTGGTCCTCAATCCCTTAAATTTTCCTTTAAGTTGTCCTAGAGGAGGACTACAGGCTCATTCACTCCTGGATAACCCCTGCTGGGAAGGAAAGTCTTGATTTCACAGAATATGTGTGTCCTGTAAGAGGGATCCATGCAGACAACTCCAAGAGCTACTTGGGACTCTAGTTTGAATCCTCACATAGAAGACCTATAGCAATTTTCTCTGATAATTTTCTCCCCAAACAGGAATTTTTAGGTCACAAGAGCCAGGAAACTACACCGATCCCTGTCTTGGGTGAAAGGCAAAAAAATCCAAATCTTTCCTTTTTCTTTCCTTCTGTATTATCAAGCCACGCTGTTGTCCCTCTGTGTTTCATCACTCTAAGTGCTGTGATATGACTTGTAGGCAGGAAGAGATGTGTTTGCCAGTCCAAGCAAGTTCCAAGATTCACTACAACTGCAAAAGGCCGACCTGCAGGAGGTAATGGTTTAGTACCGAACACCTTACCCGGATCTGCAAGTCACTGAGCTCAAGGCATTTGCACATTTCCAGGAAGAGCTTGACCCCCTCCTCATCCAGGATGATGTAGACTGGGATCCAGCGCTTATACGCTGCATCAACAATGTCGCGGAAGATGTCCCGGTCCGTAAATACATCCATGACCACCGCAATAATCTGAAAACAACAAGAGGGGAGACAGACAACTGAGTAAATATTAGGAACTGAAAGGAAGGCCCATCCCACTGGTGCAAAATAAAGGAGAGCACTGATACCAGATAATGGAGGAGAAGCCTCCATAGGGAGACAAAAGTACAGGGAGGTACATGCCCAAGCACTACCAATAATTGTAATTTTCTGGGTTAGCTGCTGTACTATGGAAGGAACTTAGTAAATGTCTATCAGAGTTCTCCTTCTCTGGATGAAAATTATTTTTTTCAGCAGCCTGAGGAATGCCAAAGCAAATACCTAGTTTTTCCTCTGTATTGAGACACTTCCATTGTCTCCGTAAGGACTAACTTAAAGGAAGAAGAACACTGAAAATAGACTGAAAAAAGCCAGTGAAAACACAACTTTAACATTTAACCTGAAGGTGTCTAATGGAAGACTGAATGTGCAGAGGAATCAGGGTCTGCATCCACGATGCATAGTGTAGACAACAAGAATTCTATTTTCCTTTTTTCCCCCCCAAATCCCTGTGAAAAGTCTGCTCTCAGGGCTGGCTTCCCAAGGAATGATTTATTAAGCTCAAATATAAACACCTCATATTTCTCAGAAAGGGACTGGAGTGTATTCAAGATTTCGAGGCAAAATGATCATTCCCTCTCTTCGCATGTATTGTTTTTCTGGTATAAAACTAATCCTTCTTTCCAGGCATAGATTTTACATAAAAACAAAAGGTTCACTGACGTGAGAGACAAGCCTGAACATTTATAGGATGAGTAACAACAAAACCAAGAAGGTTATGGGTAACTTTAATGCTGATCTTACCGAAAAGGGAGAGAAAGACAAAACACGTATCTTTTACACCATTAGAAATACAAATTAATTTTTCTGCCTGAGTTATTCTTCTCAACATTTTAAAGGTTATCAGTGGAGGAGACTACTGTTTTTCTAGTCCCTCTGCCTAACATCAGCTTGCCAGGTCAGAGCTGCCATGCTGACAGTATGCTGGGAATAGAGTTGTCTAAATTTTAATTTCCCAGGTGCTGGGAATCACAGCAATAAGCCCATCTGGGCTAGGGATGGCATATACAGGTGTGAATGGAGCTAAGTGCTGAATCACACTGTAGGACTTTCTTCACTTGATGCTTGGAAAAGGTGCAGCTCTCTTGCAGGAGCCCCTTAAGGAAGAGGGAATAATTCCCCCTAGAGACCTCTTTTCTGTGAAAAATGCCCTTGAACAAATGGATTTGGGAAAGTGATGCCACAGTAAACATCCCCCACTGCATCTGCTGAATCTCTGCTGAGTCCCTGCTTGTACAGCCAACAACAACCAACACATCTGCTCTGTCAGGCTCCTTCTGTCAACAGTGCTTACACCAGCTTCCCTTTGTTAGAGAAAGAAAAAAGAGCTGACATTGTATTTATGCTCATCATTAACATGTAAGTTCCTGATAGAGGTGAACTGTGCTGGAGCTACATCATACTAAGCCCCACAGTATCTTCTACTGGGCAGGATTTCAGGTCCTGCCTTGGTTCTCCCTTCCCAGCAGAAATGTAACAGGAATGTTACCAGAATCTCTATAAAATTAAAATACAGCGAACCTGTGCCACCTTGTTTCTGAACAACTCCACATACAGGCAAATCATAATTAAAGGCATGAATGGTTCCTGCAGTAACTCAGGCCTGTTATGTTCCCTCTCCCCCAAACACAGTGGTATGGATGAGCTATTAGGAGAAAGAACATCCACATTCCCTATGTGGATGTTATTACTTTGAAGTAAGAACATCCACATAGGGAATGGATAGCAGAAGCAGGAACTTCTTTTCTCTCCATCCTCACCATATGCAATGAGTGTAACGACTGCAGAAATTACACCCCATCCTGGACCAACCATTAATTGTCAGTACTGGCTTTGCAATGTGAAGGGATGGCTCCCTGCAGGCTGTGGGGCCTTGGGTCAGTTCAGGCTTCTTTCCAAGACTGGGGACCATTGAGAACAGCAGTCAAAACTTCCCATGGGCAACGCCTGCTGTTGTGTTTGACATCTCAAACCCCTGTCACAGCTAGGAGCATTCCCAAGCACAGCAAGTCAGAGCATGAGTGTCTACCCCTGCAAGAGGTTTTCCCCATTTCTCTTCCAATCCTATGGATAATAAACTTATCTGTAGGGCCCATAGGTGTGCCTAGCTCTTCACAGGAATTTTAAGATTGGCAAGTTAATGCTTGCTAATCTCATTGCAGCTAGGTAGCTTAATTAACATATGTTTGTAAAATACTGATGATAAGCCACCCACAGACTTGTGCCACATATTACCAGTATCTGTTTAGACCCCCCTCAGAAAAAAAACAAACCAAACAATCCCCTACTCTCATTTGCTGATGAAAAAAGCTTCTACCTGGAGACTTTTTTGCCAGGGCCAGCTCAGCTGAACACAATAGGCATAGTTATGTATGAAAAGGACCATTAAACACTCAAATGGCTGTTAAACATGAAACCAGCTTCGGGCTGGGAGGGGCACAGTTTGTCCAGTCAGTGAAAAAAAAAATCTACAAAGGAATTAATTATTTAATTAGCTAGGCATAGCTATTGAAAGAAACGAACTTTCCCAGCTCTTGAACGGTCTACAGAAGCCTTTGCAGCAGTGCAAATAGGAGGTGAAGTTGCACTACATCAGAGTGTAAGGATTTTACAGCTTCTGTCTTCTAAGTGACTGATCACACCAGACAGTGAACAGAATTACAGGGTGTGCACAATTTCAGAGAGCAGGGAGCTGAAAAGATCACCCACCAGATTAATGCCTCTGGAAAGTTTTCTGTGTTTCCCGACAGATTCGGTTTGAACAGGTCTGCAAAAGTGGCACATACAGTGTGCGCTGGCAGAGGGGAACAGGTGGAGGAGGAAATGACTGCTGAATTATAAAGCAGAAAAACCAGAAAGCTGCAAAACTAAGCGCAGGAATGAAGTTTCTTACGCTGTTCTCCCCTTTACCCAAGGGGTGTGTCAGCTCTGACGGAGATCTTTTCCTGGGTGGTCTTCCCCGGGAACGTCACCCACATCCGGGGTGGATGATGAAAAACCTCGTGATTGCCCCCACCTGCTCAAAGCAAGCTCTTGTAGCATCGTGGCTGGTTTGCTTCCTTGCCAGAGGTGCCCTGTCACCACCAGCAGTCATTTCCAGGGAAAAACAAACGGGAGGAACAGCCGCATGTTGTCTGCGCTTTGTCTACTTGCAGCTCAGGCTGGACGGTGTTGAGAGCACAAAAAATAACCCCAAAACACCATCCCATAAACGAACACGCTGCCCTGTCTTTAACTAGGTACACCTGCACACACCAGGTAGGGGTGGCTGCAACAGCATCACGACCTGTCTTCCTCTGAACCCGGGAATGAGGCCGGGACAGGACAACGTGAACCACGGCTACTGAACCCCAGCTGAGGGGAGGTGGAGGGGGTGTGCAGAGGTTTAACCCCATCACAGGCATCAGCTTGGCAAAGCGTGACACGACTGGCGACGAGGCGCGGGGAAAGCCCTGCCTGACGAACGCCGACCATTGCACGGCCAGCACGCTCCTGCTTCGGAGCGAGGGCTCTCGCCCGCCTTCCACCCCGTGCCCCGAGGCAGACCCTGGGCCCGGGTGAGGGCGGGCAGGGCTGGCCCGTCCAGGGCCCGTCCATACCTTCTGCGCCTGCTGGATCATCTCCCGCACCACCTCCTTCAGGTGCGGCGCGCTCTCCTCCTTGCGCGGGTGCGTGAAGAGGGACACCCGGCTGATGCCACGGTAGAACGTCTTGTCGGTCCAGCCCAAGTCCAGTGGGGGCACCTCAGTGTCCGAGCACTCGGGCCAGTAGGCCAGCGACAGGGTCTCGCCGCCGGGCCCCCGCGCCACCTTGCCGCCCTCACGGGGGTCGTCGTAGCCCCGCCAGCCGCCCCGCAGGTCCTGCAGCTCCCGGCCGGAGAGGAAATCGCGGAGCTGCTCCTTCCTCAGCGCCTCCCGGTACGCGGCCTCGCCGCGGGTCACCAGCGCCTCCAGGGCTCGGCGCTGCTCCTCGCTGTAGTAGAAGCGGGCCTGGGCCTCTGTCACCTTCTCGTTGACGTGCAGCTCGTCCAGCAGCAGCACCTGGGACTCCGCCATGCCGCCGGCACCCCCAGCGCAGCGCCGGCCGGCAGCGAGGGCAGGAGGCTGCGGCAGGAGGGAGAGGCAGGCCGGGCCCGCCTCACCTGGCTTGCCCGAGCCCGCCCCGACGGGTGGGGCGGCCGCTCCCCCGGGCCCGGCGGACACGGCTGTCCCCGCCGCCAGGGCCCTCTCCCAGGCTCCTGCGTGGGCCCCGGGGACGAGTTGCGGGGAGAACAATTTCTGCGAAAAGGAGAACAACCTGACCTAAGAGATGCAGGATGCGATGTAAGATAAAGGGAAGAGTTGGTTATGTGGCGGCCTAAACCAGCTTCGAGGGGTGTGGGATAGAAAGCTTTAACTAACTTGTGAAATTGTATCCTAAGAGTGAATTTGGTGCATTGAAATGGGAGAACCGCGCCTCCGAGGGAACACCCTCACCCACTGAACACATGAATTTGGAATACCCTGCGCCTTTAAACCGAGGTGGGGAAAGAGAAGGCAGTAGTTGCTGAGCCAGGTAGTGATGTAGATTCATTATGCAAATGTTGCCTGAATAGGATTGTATAAATATGCTTGCATATGTATACATTGTGTATGTATGTATAAATACACTTCCTGGATTTGTGGATTTACCACTTCGCACCCATCTCTGCGCAAACATGAAATAAAATCGAGTATCTCAGCGCTTGTGGATCAGCTTCCCCACTGGGTGAAAGAATCCAGATTTGGGACAACACCCTGGCGTGGCTGCCACCAGTGTCCTCACTGCAGTCCTTGGAGGAGAACCAGGCCTGGACCCCAGGTGTATTTTGGGGTGCAAATGTAAAAGTCTATTTAAGACTTTTTGTCCCCCTTTTTCAGACTTGGCAGCCACCTGAGAAAGAGGGGGACACAATTGGGGCCAGGGAGGTGAGCATGCACCATGGCACAGAGAGCTGGTGGCCGGCCCTCTCTGAGTCCTCTGGCAGCTCAGCAATTCCAGAAAAGCAGATGGTGTGGGGTACCCAGCTTACACAGCTTACAGAGGGGAAGATGACAGAGAGATGTGCCAGAGGCCACCCAGCTGGCTGGTGTCAGAGCTGGGAGTAAAACAGCCCTGCTTCCAGTCTCTCTCTTCCAGGGAGCATGGATAAATAGCCACACACATCCCACCGAGACTGGGGGCTGTAATGTTAAATTACGATTTTTGGGAGGTGTGTGATCGTTGCTAGGGGCCCTAATCAAGATTCTGCCTGCGGATTGCATACACAAGGATAAAAATCAGGACTTCCCCACTGCAACCCAGGGATTGAGCTGGCAGGGAATGAGCAAGGAAACAGGGACAAAGTCAAAGGCAGTGATGAAATACAAACAAAGTCAAAGGCAGTGGTGAAATACAAACATTCAGAGGCATTTACAGTGCTTTACATCTGTGATTAGCCCTAAGTGCTCACATGCAGAAAAACTATAGGGGAGAGAGCTTCTGAAGCTGCTCTTTGTTTCCTCTCTCTAAGAAATCACCAGCCATCAGTGGGAGTTCGTTTGAAAAAAACAAGGATCTGGTGGGCCACCACAGCTCACCCTGTGCTGTTCCTCTCCTTTAGGTAAAAGAGATACTTTTAGTATTCCAGTCTGTCTTCAAAAGCTTTTCCTAGCATGAAATTCACTTAAAATTTGAAATTACACTTTGCAAAGGTCTACTCCTCTGCCTATCAAGTCTCCTTTAAAAATTAATTTCCATGTAAGTTCTTTTAGCCTTATTTCTGATGGGAATGAGACTTACATGGTCATGGTGTCTGCGCCTGTCTGCCTGTCTGTCCATGTCTCTAATAAACTTTTGAGCCCACTGTCTGATTTCAAACAAGTTTGGCAGAAGTGTAATTACATCCCTACAGATTTTATGAAAAATAACAGGCCTGATAGCAAAAAGAGACTCCATCACAGTCCCCGACAGTGCAAGTTACAATGTGGGTTCATGCCTTATTAGATTTCAGATATTCCATAAAATTGAGAATGCTAATAAATGCTTGATCTGTAGGAAGAGTTTCAAATTAATTTTTTGCCATCTTAGGCACCATGGTCAATCAACCACAATATACAAATATACAGGAGATGTGACTTTCTTAGTTCCAATCCTCACTAAATTACTTGTTGGTTGTATTTTTTTTTCTGTACCAGAGGCTGCCATCAGCTCTTCTATTTCATGTGGGGCTAAATAAAATCTCTTTAATCCTGGATGCTCTGTTCATTTGTAGCTGCACAATGTAGTCTTTTGTGTTCACCCGAGGCTCCCACATGAAAGCAACAGTAGGTTCACTAATATATGTATAGTTTTGTATTTAAAAGCAAGTGAATATTTCCCACATCCAAGTAAAGGCAGCAGAGATTATTTTCACCTTGTTGTGATGAAATGTTTAACCCCCACCTCTCACACCAGAAGACAAAATGTTGTCTGTGTGTTGATAGAATAAATAGGGGCGAGGAGCTTTGCAGAAGCTGAGAGACCCCTTCCCAAGTACGTGTCCCATCTCATCCCCCCTCCCCATTCTCACATCAGTACATTCCAACCAAGTCTTTTCCTGATCTGGAGTTTTTATAAGGCCAGATGATTCAGTTCCTTTTGATTTCCCCGATCCTCCAGCTGACAGCCTCACCTCAGAGGAGTAAAAAGAGCTGTGCAAACAAACTGCCCTCTCTGCCACAGAGTCAATCCAACCCTTCAGGACCAGAGAAGAAACTTGTCAGGCAGAGTGAGGAAAAGTCTTGGAGTCACAAGGAGTGAATTCCAGTTTCCACACCAAAAGAGAGTCATTATTGTTTAGGCACAGGTTTTCCTCTCTGCCCTTAGCACCGGCTCAAGAGAAACAGGAAAGGGGAAGGCTGATTTTGAGTTGTGCTGAGGCAGCTGCAAATCCACACAGAAGGAGGCTGTCCGTCGCTGGGTTAGTTTTGTTCCTGGGGATTACCTGCTGGAGGGGCTGCGTGTGCACGGCAGGGTTGGGTCTCTTTACTTTTCGCCTCCGTTTGGGTGTCGTCCCAGGCCAAGGCCTGCTTAAGGCCTCGCTTACTCTCTGGTCCGGTTCCAGAATGTTTTCCAAAGGATGTAAACTAACCTATCAGGAAATATTACCTCTTGTTGTAACCCTCCCCCAACCCTATTACAGTGTTTTAAATCTGTCTTCAAACACCTCCCACGTATAATCTGGTTATTTGGGCCTAATTGCTTAACTTTCCTTTGCGAGGCAGTGCAGGCTGTGCATTAGATAAAGATATGACACCTTATATTTAGCATTAATTGCAACTGCGCTTGTCCTGAGCACACATCTCTCTTGCCAGTCCTTCCTATGTAATTTCAGTCTCTAAATAGCCCACCTCATGATACATTCTTTGATAAATTTCCCAGCAGTGTTTCTCGTGTGGCATAAACTGCTACAAGCTCTCGTTATAAACCTTTGAGTGCTCAGCTCTTTAGGAACCAAATCCTGCTGCTTTCCCCCTCACCTACATCTTATTTTGCTGAAGAACAGTTACCATCTACCTGCAAAATAGGAGTAAAAACAGGGGCAGATATTAAAATAAGAGCTGTATAGTAGAAGTCTTTTTGTGAGGAGTGGTGTCCTCCAAAAAAAACCAACATGATTCAACCAACTAATTTTTGGGTTGCTTTTGTTTTGATTTGATCTGTTCTTTGGTTGTTTTGGGTTTTTGTTGTTTTTTTTTCCCCCCGCCATAAAAAGCAGCAAGTGCTTAAAAATTAGTTGTGCAAAGACAACTAATTGTTTATGTTATGGAGGATGCAAGAGAGTGTTTTCCATTTCTCACTGTGTCAGCTGCAGGTTAGTCTGCGGTGACAGGGCTTTGCTGTCCTGAAATAGAAGAGTAAATAAATAGGCACCTGTGCCACAGTTGTTATTAAATACTATACTCCTTCCCTGTGCTGGCTGGTACCACAGCAAGACTCACAAAGGCTTGGTGGAGATTGCACCTTCTTGACTTTCTTCCCTGGATCAGCATCCAGGAGTTTGTGGGACACTGCTACGTGCACAGCGAGCCGTGCTCCACTTGTCCCGAGTCTGAAATCCCATCTGCAAGGGCTGCCAAGCCAGCACAGCAATGGCTGCATTAGTCATGTCCAAGTACTGGCAGAGCAAAAAAGCCCGAAACAAGGGGATTTCAGGGTGGAGAGGAAGAAGCTCCTGCCTTCCCCGTTCACCCTCCAGCAACCCAAAGAGCTGCAGGCGGTGGCAGGCAGGTGTGTCACTTCTGCAGCAGCAGTGACAGACTGCAATCCGGAGGATGAAGAAATGCTCTCAGAAGCTTCCTTTCTGTCACATTACACCGCCTCAGGGAGAAAACCTAGCTGCTGAACTGGAGAATTGCCGCAAATGAGTCGAGAGCTTCTGGCCTCCCACTCACATGTTTCCATGTGAGAGTAAATAGGTAAGAGAGTTCTCTGAAGAGAGCAGAAAGGAACAAATGCGCTCACAGGCTCATGTCTTGCAGCGAGGTATTTGCTGACTGAGCACGCACAGAAAGACCTTTAGCTGTTTTCCCTGTCTGCTCCTTTTCACAGGGCAGCACTTTTTTTAGGCAGTTTCCTGTAAGAAATAATGCTGACCCTGGTCTCTTGCGCTTTCAACACCCGTACAGGCAGGCACTCAAACTGGGTGCAATTCAGCTGAGCTACCCTGAGGGGCCTTGGCCAAGTCATCTGCTGTGCCTCAGTTCCCATTCTTTAAAATTAGGAAAATACTACTCTACTTCACAGGACTGGTGTAGAGAAGAGCTTAAAAAATGAAACCCCAAACCAACATCACCTGCATTTGGTTTCTCCTGCAGGAGGTGGGGGAAAAAAATGAAGAAAGACAGCTGTAGAGTCCCTTTGCAGATGAGCCAAATCCTGAATGGAAGCTCTGGCTAAAGAAAACATCGAGGAACCAGCAATGCAGCTTCTGAATAGGATGCTTAATTATGTAGCACTCAAATCACGGTGTGATTTATAGACAAAGGAACACCAGGAATGGGGGCACTGAAAAATTAAGATACCAACAAGTCTGCAGCATGGTGCACTTATTTGTGTACTGGCCACCTGTCAGTGTACATTGCTATCAGCTCTCAGCAAAAGAAAATGCTCAGGTGAGAGCTAACAGGAAGAGGAATGGAGCAGACAAGGAAGTCTGGGGTGGGTGTCCCAGGCAGAGACTGCAGGGAGGAGTAGCAGACTGGCAGGAAATTATTAATGGGACTATCCAGGTGCTGTGGTGCAGACCTCCAGGCAGTGCAGCAGGAGCAAGTGGGAGATGGAGTTATGAGCTGATTATGAGACATGGCAAAGTTATAACCAAAGTGGTGGGTAAATCAGTGGATGGGGATGTGAGAGAAACATGAGTTCACAGGAGTGAACAAATTCATTTGGAAAGCTGCATATTTGGTGGAGGAAAGGAAAGCAGAGAAGAGGCTCTGGTATCTACAAAGTTTTAGGCATCCTGGAGGATGGCTAAAAAAAGCCATGGCAAAATAGGAAACTCTTTTTTATAAGGAGGGGGAAAGAATATAACTGCGAAGCTTGGCTAGAGGGGAGAGAAGTTAGATGCTGGCCCTAAAAATACAAAAATGAATAGTTAGGAAGTTTGGCCCCCACAAAAAATGCAAAACTGTGTGAAGGGAGTGGCATAAGAAGGAAAAAGGGAACCCTCTGAGCAGAGATGCAGGAGGCTGAAGTGTAGGCTTAGACCTGGAGATGGAACAAGTCGATCTGTGATTCATGAATATAAAGAAAGATACAGAAGTTTTTAAGATGTGGTAGAAATGTGTTAATTTGGTTTTGAAGATGCCCTTTACTGATCAGCATACATGGGAGTCAGATGTGTATTTAGCTTAAAAACATGCAAAGAAGCAGTGCAAATAAGAAATCAGCTGCTCATGACCTTATCAGAAGCACTGCTAGCACCAGAAGATCCCTGCCTTTCACTTGCCAGTGCTTCTGTCCAGCAGTGTCACAGTGCAGGCGGATTGAGTGGGTGCAAGTGACTCCCGTGAGTCAGAGAAGGCAAATAAAAGGAGCCAACAAAACCTCCCTCTGGAAAGGCCGTTTCCAGACAGACATGTTGGAGGTGTGAAAGCAAAACTTCACAGGAATTCATGTTCAAAATTAATTTGCCTTTTTTTTTCTTTATAAATGCTGAAGTGAGGTCACAGAAAAAGAACCAAGTGACATTCCCTGCCTCTGTTTCAGCTGCTCTTTGTGCGGCCAAACCACCATGTGGCTTGACTGAGACACTGCACAGCAGAATTTGTCCCAGGCCGTAGCATCCCTCCAAGCAGGGGCACACCCTGGGCACCCCCAAAGCCACAGATGGGGAAAACAACAGAGCAACTTTGTTTTGATACTGGAGACATTTCGGCTTGGACTTCAGTAAGGTAGAACTTCTCAGCTGACCGACCAGAGGCATGATGATGGTCCTGGTCCTGAGATAATGTCACAGGAATCACCTGGACAATCCCTCCCTGGGTCTAGGGACACCTGAATTTAGGCTTAGAATATCATATTTTTGGATCAGCGTTGGCAACAAGATGTGGTTTTGAATTCTTCCAAAAGCAAAATCCAACTGTATAATGCACTCATGTTCCTCCAGTGCCTGTTTTTAGATCCATTTCTTTTGCAACTCAATTAATCAAGATTTTGCTGCTCATTTTAAAATAAATGGCATTTCTCTTAGGAAGGTTTATAGCTTTCAGTCTTAGAGGTTTAAAAATACTCAGATGGATTCTGAGCTAATCCAGACTCATAAACCATTCTCATCTGTTAATACCTGAATGCTTTGATCATCATATTTAAGAGATATTTTTTTTTGGCAGAGGGGTATTTTTCAGACAGATTGTCCCCCAGTACTTTTTATTTCAAGCTTGTGACAGGTTACTGTGCTGCACCCTCATGCAAAACACATAGGAGGAAGGGAGGAGGAGGAGAAGCTGCAGCAGAAATAAGCCACAGCTCTAAGTTTATCCATATTCCTGTCCCCCCTTCTCCTGATGATGAAGAATCCTTATCTCTCCCCTTGTGTTCAGCTTATCCTACTCACCTACTGTTTTCTACTTTTTGCCCTGTCATTCTTAGGTGGGATCTTTTAAAATTCTTCCCTTGAGAGTGACCCTGGGCACTTTTCCTCTTACTCTACCAGCATGGCTGGCTCAGGAACAGGTTTCTGCTTGCCAGACCCTCACACCTTCTCCCCACCCTCGTGTATTTAAATTCTTCTACTGGAGAAGCAGCTGCATCCTCTGGGGAAGAGTGCAACCTGTGGAAGATCCCCACCCCTACCAGAGCATCTCGTCTCTGACAATCAGAATGAGAGAGTCCAGTAGCATGGTTCTAATTCCACTTAGTTGAGGCTGTCAATTAGTAGAGGAAGCAATGAATGGATTTATTTTTTCCCCTCATGCTGGCAATTGACCTAAGTCACAGTAAATGCTATGGCTAGATAGAAGCTGATCTTGGGAAGGACTGCAAAGAATGGCTTAGTATTTTGCTTATCTCACAAGCATTTAATTTATCCCTAGTCTTCCTGGAAGTCACATATAGGATGTAGTGGGGTCACTTCATGAGCTCAGGTAAGGAAATTACCTTGTGAACCTCTTTCAACACTTCAGAGCAATGTGAAAAGCAAATCACATCTCAGCAATCACTCATGCCAGTGCTCAGGGTAGCACTGTGACAAGCCATGTGTGGGATGTACTGGTGGCCTTGATCACCAGGTAGCACAGTGGCTTTCCAGCTTCTAAAGATTCTTGTGACCTTGGAGATAAGTCTCCCATGAGAGCCTCTACAACATTCCAGCCTCTGTCCACCACCTCCAGAAAGCTACAGCTGGCACCCGACACTGCAGAACAAGAAGCTCCACGTAGAAGTCCCAGCATGGGAGACTCGGTTGCCTGACAATTAGGATGAGGAACATCCTGCTCTGGGTGTCCATGCTGCTCTCCACTGCTGTGGAACTACA